TAATCCCAGCTACTCAGGAGGCTGAGGCAGGAGAATTGCCTGAGCCCAGGAGGCGGAGGTTGCGGTGAGCCGAGATCGCGCCATTGCACTCCAGCCTGGGAAAAAAGAGCGAAACTCCGTCTCAAAAAAAAAAAAAAAAAAAAAGATGGAATTAGCCGAGTTTAATGGCTGCTTGGGAGGTTTTTTGCAGACAAGGTGTCCCTCCATCACCCAGGCTGGAGTGCAGCAGTGTGATCCTTACTCACTGCAGCCTTGAAGTCATGGGCTCAGGCCATCCTCCTGCTTCAGCCTAAGTAGCCGAGGTCATGAGCGTAAGCCACTGCCCCTGGCTCACATGGCTGCTTAAATGGAAGAGTCAATTGTTGAGACTGGGAAAGACGAAGGACTAGGTAGTCTGGGTCTCCCAGATAGCGGGCAGCCCACAGAGGAGAGAAGCAGAGCTGCCAGAGGGGGAGGAAGACAGCCAGACGGTGACGTAAGAGAGGCTCAAGCAACTCAGTGTTTAGAAAAGGGAGTCAGGCAGCTGGGCGCGGTGGCTCAGCCTGTAATCCCAGCACTTTGGGAGGCCGAGGCGGGTGGATCACCTGAGGTCAAGAGTTCAAGGACCAGCCTGGCCAACATTCCCGTCTCTACGAAAATACAAAAAATAGCTGGGCATGATGGTGGGTGCCTGCAATCCCAGCTACTGGGTGGCTGAGTAAGACTCCATCTCAAAAAAAAAAAAGAAACGGAGTCCGGCTCTCTTCAGTGATATTCACTCACTCAGCAGCTGCTCCTTTGGCACGAACAATGCACATAACCTCCAATCTCTATTCTCTTGGAGCTGGCTTTCTTAGAGGCGAGGAGACAGTCATCTAAAATAAGGATCGGGATGGGCAACACACAAAAAAGCTTAAAAATGAGCCGACTGTAGTGTTGTCTGCCTGTAATCCCAGCTATTTGGGAGGCTGAGGTGGGAGGCTTGCTTGAGCCCAGGGATTCAAGGCTGCAGTGAGCTGTGATCACGCTAGTGTGCTCCAGCCTGGGTGACAGAGTGAGATCCTATCTCCAATAAATAAATAGTAAATAAATAAGAGTTTTTTTTGTTTGTTTGTTTTTTAAGTCTGTTAGATGGTATAGGAATGGGAATGCTGGAGCTGGGAGGACTGCTGTTTAAAACAGTGGCAGGGGCTGGGCGTGGTGGCTCACACCTGTAATCCCAGCATTTTGGGAGGCCAAGGCGGGCAGATCACCTGAGGTCAGGAGTTTGAGACCAGCCTGACCAACATGGTGAAACCCCGTCTCTACTAAAAATACAAAATTAGCTGAGCATGGTGGCGCATGCCTGTAATCCCAGCTACTCAGGCTGAGGTAAGAGAATCGCCTGAACCCGGGAGGCAGAGGTTGTGCTGAGCTGAGATTGCACCATTGTACTCCAGCCTGGGCAACAAGAATGAAACTTCATCTCAAACAAAAAAACAGTGGCAGGGAAGGTTTCATTGAGGTGACCCTGAAGTGAAATTTGAAGGTCATGGCATGAACCATGTGACCAAGAAAGCAGCAAACACAAAAGGCCTGAGGTGAGCGTGTGCAGATGATCCTTGAGGTTCAGTGGGGATCGGGGCCGAGGCCAGGAACAGTGTCGTGTGCCTTGCTTGTCCTAGTGGGGAGACAGTGTGAATACAGTGGGCCTGAGGTCATCACAGGAGCTGTGTTAGCCCATTGCCGTGGGCTGGACCTCACACGGGGGTTAAGGAGAGACTGCAGCATGCCCAGCTCTGAAGATGCCCAGGGCAGTGGCTTGTCTGGAGTGCTGGCAGCCCAAGGGTGGGTCAGGGAGCCAGGAGAGAGGAGGGTCCCCAAGGGCAGCGAGAGACCACACTCACTGCAGGGCCACGCGGGGCCTGCTCTGGTTCTGCTATGAGGCATCGCTGGCTGGCAGAAAGGGCCAAGAGAGGTGGCCTGGCCAGGCAGCAAAGGGGTTTGGAAGGACTCTAATTCCTAAAGATAAACCAAGTGCAGCTCCAGCACAAACGGGGGTCTGGCGGGGACCTCCGAGGGGCTTCCCGGAACCGAGGCTAGAAGGAATGGCTTCAAGTATGGCCTGAGGCAGGGCCCTAGCATGGACTCAGGCTGAGGGAAAGGCAAAGGTTCTGAAAACCCAAGGGCCCAGAGGCCTGGACAGAGACCACAGCACAGCCCACCCATATCTTACCTCTAGGCAGCAGTAGCAGCTTACCACCAACCCTGGGCCCAGAGGCATGCCCTGTCTCCCTGCCCAGTCCCCCAGAAGCCCCCACACTCAAGACCCCTCAACCTGAGGCAGATCTTCCTAGGAGCCCTGGAAACTTGATGGAGAGAGGTACAGGTGGGCGGGTTAGGGGGTTGGGGATAGCAGACAGTGCCCAGTGGTGACAGCTGTCCTTTCCTTGCCCTGCAGAAGAGCTGGCAGGGCGCCTGGCCCGGGCCATTGCAGGTGGGGACGAGAAGGGGGCAGCCCAAGCAGCAGCGGTCCTGGCCCAGCATCGCGAGGCCCTCAGCATTCGGCTTCAGGAGGCCTGCTTCCCACCTGGCCCCATCAGGTGAGGCCTGGGCCTTCTTCCTCACTGGGCCCCTGGTGACCCTCCCGGGTTCTCCATCCATCCCTCAACTCACATTCTGGCCCAGGCTGCAGGTCACACTTGAAGATGCGGCTTCTGCTGCGTCCACCGCGCCCTCTGCCCACATCACACTGCAGGTCCACCCCCATCGCACCATTGCAGCTCTCCAGGAGCAGGTGGGCACAGGGTCTGGGGAGCCCTGCCAGGGGCAGGGGAGCCTAGGTGACACCACCTGCCCTGATGCTCTGGCTGCAGGTGTTCTCCGAGCTTGGTTTCCCGCCGGCCGTGCAACGCTGGGTCATTGGGCGGTGCCTGTGTGTGCCCGAGCGCAGTCTTGCCTCCTACGGGGTTCGGCAGGATGGGGACCCTGCTTTCCTCTACTTGCTGACAGCTCCTCGAGAAGCGCCAGGTCAGTCATTGATGTGGGTGGGGTGCGGGAGGTGGGGTGCAGCCCAGCAGTCCTGAGCTCCACCCCCTCAGCCACAGGACCCAGCCCTCATCACCCCCAGAAGTCGGATGGGGGACTTGGACGCTCACTTTCCTGCATCACTGGGCCTGCCCCCAGGCCCCCAGCCTGCCACTTCCAGCCTGCCCAGTCCTCTCCAGGTGGGCATGGGGCTGGGCAGGGAGGGCAAGGACAGCTGTGGCCATTGGAAAGAGCAGGGAACTAACAGCTGTCTTTCCTCCCCCAGCCCGGATGGCCCTGTCCTTCCTGCACCTTCATCAACGCCCCAAGCCGCCCTGGCTGTGAGATCTGTAGCACCCAAAGGCCCTGCACTTGGGACCCCCTTGCCGCAGCTTCCACCTAACAGCCACCAGAGGTACCAGAGGTGACACAGGCAGGGGAGGTGGGTGGGGGGTGGGTAGGGCAGGATCCACGGGAATGACCCAGCTCCTCCCCAGCAGGTTATAAGGGAAGAGTGACCCTTCCCTCACAGGTCGACATCCAGGACCCCGCTGAACTCAGGGGCCCTCTACTGACTGCTTGTTGGGACAGAGCCACCAGGGTTAGGGGGAAGGACCACAAACCGGAACCATTAAAGACCCTTAAGAGCCAGCAAGTGTCCCCTTCATCGTATCTCTGCGGACCTCCCCCAGCCTAGCCAGAGCCACAGGGAGACAGGCCCTCATCAGCAGGTGAGGCTCCCCCTGCCAGACCAGGTGCTCACGAAGTGGACCAAGCCCCTGAGCTTTAGTGGTCAGGAAAGCATGGCATGGGGATCTCGTCCCAGACCCCAGAGGCCTACAGGGCCCCCCCCCGCCAGCTGCTCACCGCAGGGCTGAGGCTGCTGGGGTGTGCCACACACTGAGCTGTAGCCCCCACTGCCGACCTTGTATCCTGCTGTTCCCCCCGGTCCCCCAGGCCTGCGCCTCTGCTGCCTGCAGCTCTATTGCCACCACCTTTCTCCCGTTCAGCTCGTGTCTTCTCTGGACTCTGGCCACCACTCCCTCAGCTCTTGGAGTTAGGACACCAGCAGTGGGTGTTGGCTGGGCACGGCGGCTCACGCCTGTAATCCCAGCACTTTGAGAGGCCGAGGTGGGCAGATTACGAGGTCAGGAGTTTTGAGACCAGCCTGACCAACATAGGGAAACCCCATCTCTACTAAAAATACAAAAATGAGCTGGGCATGGTGGCACGTGCCTGTAATCTCAGCTCCTCAGAAGGCTGAGGCAGGAGAATGGCTTGAACCCGGGAGGTGGAGGTTGCGGTGAGCTGAGACGGTGCTATTACATGACCTTAAAAAAAAAAAAAAAAAAGAAATAGGTGTTTTCCTTCCCTTCCTAGGGAAAAGGAAAGCTCAGGAGCTGAGTTCTATGCCATACTGCAGCAGGGCACTGCTGGGTCACATCTCTTGACCCTCCTAGATAGCACCCACTGCCACCTTCCCTCAGCAGCATGCTCCTGTGGGAACCCAGCCACTGCCCGCTTCTGGCCTGGACCCACCACCCAGCTGCCCTATGGACTGCTAGGAGGGGCTGCTCCATGATACACATCCGGCCCGGCTGCCCGATTCCTTCACTTGGCTGGGAGCCATCCCCTTCCTCTCAGCCCAGCCCAGCAATAGCCCCCGCTCTAGACCAAGCCTTGCTGAAATGCTGCCAAGGTGCCCTGCTGCCATCAGAGTGGGGTTCAACACCAACACTTGGCTGTTCATTCCCTGGGCCACGTCCAGTCTGGCTAGGCCCTTTCCAGCTCTTTCAGACATACCCCACCCCACCAAATGTTGCCACTTCCTCTAAAATCCAGTTCTCTGCTTTCTGTCCCGTACCCAATATTGCCTGGACTCCTAGCTACCAGTCAGTGCAAGGCAGTGCTGGCCACACTGTATGGGACATCCTGGGAGCCCTGTAAAAGCAAGGATCTTGGTATTAAGAGTCCCTTGCAAACCTGCACTCCTTCCATATAATAACTCAAATATGTACTTTGAGAAACTTAATTTATTCCCATGATAGAGACTGAAGGAGGGTCCAGAGCTAGAGCCTGGTCTCCTGTCCCCTTCCCTCTTCTACTAGATGAAGAGGGGCTTAGTCAAGTGGGCCAGCTGAGGCCTGAACAGGCCTGGGATGGCTCTTGGGCTTGAGGGCCTGTTCTGGCAGGAAGGCAAGCAGACACTGGACAGGGTCACTTGGGCGGCCGATATGCCAGCTTCCGACTCTTCAGGACTGACCACTTATGCCGCTTCATGGTGTAGATCAGGGGCACCAGCAGACTCATCATCATCAACATCTGAGGATAAGGAAGACTCAGGGAAGGGAGTGGGAGGGAGCTCTGCCCAGCTCCCAGCCCCTCTGATACCCACCGTGGCCTTCTCCCAACACTTTTTACCTTGAGCCCCATGCGTTTTCGCTGGTCGTGCTCTGGCTCAGATGCCCAGCGCAGGAAGGTGCACACATCCTTGGCTACCTGGGACATGGTAGCTGGGGTGCCTGGGCCAAGGACAAGCAGTGAGGGCCACTCCCAGTCTCATGCCCCACCTGATGTAATTCTCAGTGCACTCTCTCTGTGGAGCAAACAGTGGCCTCTACCCAAGGCATCAAAGGGACAGTACCCCCTGACTGGACATAGGCAAAACTGAAGGAGCCCTTCCTGAGACATGCCCAGAAGACATACTACAGCAGGCGTCCCCAAACTTTTTACACAGGGGGCCCGTTCACTGTCCCTCAGATCGCTGGAGGGCCGCCACATACTGTGCTCCTTTCACTGACCACCAATGAAAGAGGTGTCCCTTCCTGAAGTGCAGCGGGGAGCTGGATAAATGGCCTCAGGGGGTCGCATGCGGCCCTCGGGCCGTAGTTTGGGGACTCCTGCCCTACAAGAAGCGAGCAGGATCTTGGGCCCAGGAACACAGGGAAGCATCCCTGGGGGTAGTGGAGAAGTATTCAACATGCCCGCTCCCAGACCGAAGGCCTCTTACCATCGTCGAACTCCAGGACATCCGTGTAGATGGGAGGGGCCATGCCGATGGCCTGGCCAGGAAAGTAGGGGTTGAAGTAGAGACCTTCCCGAAGTGACACCCCAGTGGGTGGCTCACAGTAGCCCGTGAGCAGGGAGAAGATGTAGTCCTCACCACCGTGCCTGGGACCAGATGCATGGCTGCTGAGCTGCAAGCGCAAGTCAACCCTCCCCCCGCCTCTCCGGCACTACCCCGTGGGCAACTCCTGTACCTAGCTCGCACGATGTAGCTGAGGTCAGGGGGCAATGCTCCGTTGTTGGCGGCTCGAGCAGCCTCAGGGTTGGGGTATGGTTTTGGGAAATAGTCAGACAGCTTTCCTGGCCGCATAAACATCTCCCCATTTTCATTGGGGCCATCTTGAACCTCCACCTGCCACCGAGAGCCTCATCACAACCTTGCCGTCTCACCACAGTGGGAGCCCTGAGCCCTGGGTCCCGGGCATCCCCAGACCTCACACCTCCGCAGCCAGCGCCTTAGCTTCGGCCTCCGTGTAGCACACGCCGACCAGGTGGCGGTACGCCACGTAGTCCATGCTGTGGCAGGAGGAGCACACCTGCTTATATACCTGGAAACCCCTCCGGATGCTGCAGAGAGCAAAAGGTTAGGAACGCTTTCGATTCCACCTCACCAGCTCCACCCACAGCCTCCCCTGCCAGCCAGCCAGCCAGCCAGCCGCCCACCTGGTGTGGTCCAAGGAAGAGAGGAGGCCACGGTGAGACCACGGATAGCTGGGCGCGTGCAGCTCCAGGTCACTGGCACTCACAGCCGAATGCAGAGCCAGGGTCAGCCCCGCACCCCCTGCCGCCAGCATGCCCAGCGCTGACAGCATCACCTTCCGGCCTCGGGAAGGGCCAGACTTGGACGACAAGGACACTGCCTGCAAGACCTCCGCTTCAGCGCCTGCCAGGACACCACCCACCCTGCCTGGGGATCTGACTCTCGGCGCCCACCTCTCCACCCAGCAGTGGCCGCCTCCTGCGGGGCGCCAGACGCACACCCTGGCCCGCTACCCACCCCAGCCCTCTCCGCTGCTGACTCCCAGACCGTGATTCGCGCTCAGGAGGCGGCGTTCCTGGGTCCTGGGCCGAGGGTCGGACCGAAGTGACCAAGGGTGCTGGGGCATGCCAAGGTCACAAGCAGCCGGCCGAGGTCAGGCTCGGGTCACTTGAGGACGCGGGCCCAGGTTGGACAGGCAGCCGCGAGAGCCGTCCTGGGCGCGCCGTCCGGGAAAGCCCCCGCCCCGCCCCGCCGGAGGAGCCGGTTCCGCCGACCCCCACGCTCGGGACCGGGCCCCGTGCCGTCCGGGGAGGTGGGCACCCGGCCCTGATCCCACGCGCTCAGGGTCGGCAGGCAGCGGGGACCCCGGGGCCGGCCCGCTTCCGCGCTGCCCCAGCCCGCGCCCGCAGCCTCGCCGCCGTGACCTTCAAGGGGCTGCGGGGCCGCGCGGAGGCCGGGAGCCGGCCCAGCGCTCACCTGAGGTGTCCGCAGCGGGAGCTGCCCGGGCCGCGCGCTGCACAGCAGACCCCGGGCACGCGCGCCCGGGAGCCCCGCGCCCCGCGGGCCCAGCACCGCCCCGCGAAGCGAAGCCGCCGCTGCCGCCATCTTGGCCTCCTCAGCGCGGCCGCCGATCCCGTCGGCCCCTGGGGCGCCACGCGAGTCGAAACCTCGCGATAGCCGCGGAGCGCGGGGCGGGGCGGGCGTGGGGGCGGAGCCTGCCGGGTGGGCGGGGACGCAGCGCGCGGCCCGGGTGGTGTGTCTCCGTTGCCGTGACAGCGCCCCGCCCCTCCCGGCGTTTCCCGCGCCGCCACCGAGGCCCCGACGCTCCTTTTCCTGGCGTTCCCAGGCCGCGCGGTGGCCCGGCGGAGGCTGCCCCTGCGGGCTGAGGACCCCCGGAGAAAGGGCGGCTTGGCCGGGCAGGCGCGGGTGGGGTCTCGGCTCAGGCGGCGCCGGGCAGCGGGAGTCGGGGCTCGGGGCTGAGCACCCTGCTCTCCTTCCTGCACGTGCGCAGAAGCAGGTGCGGGAGCCGGGAGCGAGACGCCAGAGGCGCCTCCGGAAGCTCCTCGCGGCCCGCGCGTGGCGCGCTCCTGGGGGCCTAGCGCTTTGGGAGGCCGAGCGGGGATCGCTTGAGCCCTGGCAGTCGAGGCTGCAGTGAGCCGTGACCGCCGCTGCACTCCGGCCGGGACGACAGAGCGAGAGCTTGTCTCGGAAAAGTAGGTCAATGTGATCCGTTACGTGGGAATTTTTTTTTTTTTTTTTTTTTTTTTTGGAGACGCAGTTTCGCTCTTCTTACCCAGGCTGGAGTGCAATGGCGCGATCTCGGCTCACCGCAACCTCCGCCTCCTGGGTTCAGGCAATTCTCCTGCCTCAGCCTCCTGAGTAGCTGGGATGACAGGCACGCGCCACCACGCCCAGCTAGTTTTTTTGTATTTTTAGTAGAGACGGGGTTTCACCACGTTGACCAGGTATTAAAAAATACCGCGCCAGGTATTTTTTTTGTTACAATTTTTTTTTAAGAGTAAGCCAAGGCCGGGTGCGGTGGCTCACGCCTGTAATCCCAGCACTTTGGGAGGCCGAGACGGGTGGATCACGAGGTCAAGAGATCGAGACCATCTTGGCTAACAGGGTGAAACCCGGTCTCTACTAAAAATATAACAAACCAGCGGGGCATGGTGGCACGAGCATGCAGTCCCAGCTACTCGGGAGGCTGAGGCAGGAGAATCGCTTGACCCCAGGAGGCAGAGGTTGTAGTGAGCCCAGATCGCGCCACTGCACTCGTCTGGGCGACAGAGCGAGACTCCATTTCACTCACACACACACACACACACACACACAAAGGAAAAAAAAGAAAATGCAATTTAAAAACTAATCAGTGAAAATGGAGAAGGACCCCCAAAAAATTTGTCCACACTTCGCCCAGTAAGAGCAAGAAAAAATAGCAAAAATGGTCAGAATCAACTTTTTCAGATGAAAATTAATCAAAGGCTTTCATCATCCCAGGGAGTGTTATTCAATTAAACCGTTGACAATCAGGAAGAACAGTGGCCTTTGTAGTTTTGTAGCTTTCCCTGGTCCAACCCCGCCTTCCAGCTCAGTGGTATTCTTGAAAATAACAACCCGGCTGGGTGCGGTGGCTCAAGCCTGTAATCCCAGCACTTTGGGAGGCCGAGGCGGGTGGATCACGAGGTCGAGAGATCGAGACCATCCTGGTCAAAACGGTGAAACCCCGTCTCTACTAAATACAAAAAAAAAATTAGCTGGGCATGGTGGCGCGTGCCTGTAATCCCAGCTACTCAGGAGGCTGAGGCAGGAGAATTGCCTGAGCCCAGGAGGCGGAGGTTGCGGTGAGCCGAGATCGCGCCATTGCACTCCAGCCTGGGTAACAAGAGCGAAACTCCGTCTCAAAAAGAAAAGAAAAGAAAAGAAAATAACAACCCACGTTCCTAGTACTGTGGGAGCAGAATGCTCTCATTCACAACCTCCGTCGTTGAACTTGTCTGAAGGCTCCCTGGAAGACTCCTACCACACCAACTCAGGGCTTGCCCAGTGCCAGCTGCCTGAGGTGACGGTAGCAGTTACAGCAAACGATGGACCAAACAAAAAGCTAGAAAGAAGGAGCAAGGGTATGAAACGTCCGCAGGGGCTTTGAAAAGCCCCACACAGGCCGAGCACGGGCCTGACGCCTGTCATCCCAGCACTTCGTGAGGGCCGAGGCAGGCGGATCACAAGGTCAAGAGATGGAGACCAGTATGGTGAACCCCCAGCTCTACTAAAAATACAAAAATTGGTCGGGTGCAGTAGCTCATGCCAGTAATCGCAGCGCTTTGGGTGGCGGAGGCAAGTGGGTCACCTGAGGTCGGGAGTTTGAGACCAGCCTAACCAACACAAAGAAACCGTGTCTCTACTAAAACTACAAATGGTAGCTGGGTGTGGTGGCGCCTGCCTGGAATACCAGCTACTTGGGAGGCTGAGGCAGGAGAATCGCTTGAACCCGGGAGGTGGAGGTTGCAGTGAGCTGAGATTGTACCACTGCACTCCAGCCTGGGCAACAAGAGTGAAAGTCCATCTCAGGCCAGGCGCGGTGGCTCACGCCTGTAATCCCAGCACTTTGGGAGGCCGAAGGCAAGTGGATCACAAGGTCAAGAGATTGAGACTATCCTGGTCAACATGGTGAAACCCCGTCTCTACTAAAAATACAAAAAATCAGCTGGGCGTGGTGGCGCGTGCCTGTAATCCCAGCTACTCAGGAGGCTGAGGCAGGAGAATTGCCTGAACCCAGGAGGCAGAGGTTGCGGTGAGCCAAGATCGCGCCATTGCACTCCAGCCTGGGTAACAAGAGCGAAACTCTGTCTCAAAAAAAAAAAAAAAAAAAGAAAAGAAAAAAAAGAAAAGGCGTAAACCCTTGTGGCCTTGAAGTAGGCAATCGTTTCTTAGATATGACGCCAAAAGCACAGGCAACTAAAGTAGTAAGTTGGATTTCCTCAAAATTAAAAACTTTTGTGCGTTAAAGGATGTGATCAAAAAAGTGAAAAGACAACTCAGAATGGGAGAAATTATCTGCAATCATATCCTAAAAGGGTTTAGTATCCAGAAGGTCTGAAGAACTCTTACAACTTGGAAATAAGAATAGCCCAAGACAAAAATGGGCTAATTCTCTAAAGAATATCAACAGCACTGGGTGTCGTGGCTCATACTTGCAATCCCAGCACTTGGAAGGCTGGAGGCAGAAGGTTCGCCTGAGGCCAGAGGTATGAGACCAGCCTGGACAACATAGTGAGACCTTGCCCTTTATTTCTAAATAAAGTTTAAAAAGAATATACGCCAATTGCCAATAATCACATGAAAAGATGCTTAGTTTCATTAAACGTTAGGTAAATGCAAATCAAAACCAAAATGAGATACCACTTCACACCCCCTAGGATGGCTGTCATCTACAAGATGGACACTAGCAGGGCTGGGTTGTGGATAACCCCTCATATAGGCACCGAGGAAAGAGACCGAAGCAGAACCCTGGCACAGTTAGGGCTTGAAGAATATTTCAGTTTATAGTATTACAACTCAGCTATTTCCTTTTGTATAATTCTTTATATAATCATATATTAGTTTATAGAATTAGGGCTTGAAGAATCCCATTATATAATTCTCTCTATGTAATCATTAATAGTTGATAGTATGAGTGCCTGAAGAATATTTCCCTACGTATATACCTATAATTATCTTAGTTAATAATCGGAGGAATGCCTAGAGTGGACACAGTACAGAGCATGAATTGAGAAATAAGCAGCTTATAATCAGAGGAATGCCTAGAGCAGACACAGTGCAGAGCATGGTTTAAGGGAAAACAGTTAGACCAGGACAAGACTCCACGGCCCAGGCGGCAGCGTTCAGTGTCGTAAAGATACCCGCTGTGTGGCAGGCTTGGGGCGAGAGCCACTCCTCCTGATGAAGGAGTTGCAGGACCCTGCTCCAGTTCTCGTGGAAGGCTGCCCTCAGACCGGCAATCCACCTTGGGGACTGTGAACTTTATCAGCTCTTGCTACTGTGCTGCTTGAAAAGCATCTTCCTGCCGGGCGCGGTGGCTCAAGCCTGTAATCCCAGCACTTTGGGAGGCCGAGGCGGGTGGATCACGAGGTTGAAAGATCGAGACCATCCTGGTCAACATGGTAAAACCCCATCTCTACTAAAAATACAATAAAACTAGCTGGGCATGGTGGCGCATGCCTGTAATCCCAGCTACTTAGGAGGCTGAGGCAGGAGAATTGCCTGAGACCAGGAGGCGGCGGTTGCGGTGAGCCGAGATTGTGCCATTGCACTCCAGCCTGGGTAACAAGAGCGAAACTCCGTCTCAAAAAAAAAAAAAAAAGAAAGAAAGAAAAGCATCTTCCCATAGAAGCCATTGGAAGCTGCCAGAAGGTGGCGGTAACCCTGACAGCTCTGTCACTGCTGTGTGACTTAAAGCATCCTCCCATAAATCTTCTTAGAAGTAGTTTGCCCACAGAAGTCTTGCACACTGCACCCTCTTCACTGTGCAAGGCCCACCTTCAAGCCTCGGTGACCTAATGGGGGTGGACCCCTTGTTTTATTGCTGATGACCCAATCACTATCCTTAAAGATGATTTCACTCACTGCCCTGCCCCCTAACCTATACACAATAAATACTCAGGCTTCTGGACATTTGGGGCCTCACCTGAGTCCACTCATAGGTGGTGTGGCCCCCGAGCCCACCTGTGTTTTCCTTGTACTTCTGTGTCCGGTCTCTTTATTTTGTGGATCCTGCACCTCAGCACAGCATAAGGCTCACCCCAACAACCCTGTGGGCCATCGCAGTATGCCGGGTGCAGTGGTTTAGGCCTGTAATCCTAGCACTTTGGGAGCCTGAGGCGGGCAGATCGCCCGAGGTCGGGACTTGGAGACCAGGCTGACCAACATGGAGAAACCCCATCTCTACTAAAAATACAAAATTAGCCAGACTTAGTGCCTGTAATCCCAGCTACTTGGAAGGCTGAGGCAGGAGAATTTCTTGAATCTGGGAGCGGAGGTTGCAGTGAGCTGAGATCCTGCCATTGCACTCTAGCCTGGGTAACAAGAGCGAAACTCCGTCTCAAAAAAAAAAAAAAAAAAGAAAAGAAAAGAAAAAAAGATGGACACTAGCAAGTGTTGGTA